AACCTCTGAGGCTTCCCTGTGGCCGCTACCTTGACGTCACAATTTAAACTAAAATAGTGAAAAAATTCGTTTCTTTTCACTCAAATATTGCAATTTCAAGAAGTCACATGCTTTGAACCTTCGTTGAGATCATTACTCTCTTCAGAGCCGAGTTTGTCCCATGCCAATGCACTCATCACGGCCTACTTTTTCATAACATACCGTATCCCAATGAATTAAATAGGCCAGGCTTTATTACAAAGTAAGACCCAGAGCTCAGGAAGGAAGAAAAATTTCAATATTTGGAGTAAATACCCACCGCAACTGGACGAATCGACTTGCGTTCATAGGTATTGACATCGTAAATACCAGGGATCAATATATGCATTTTTCGAGGTCCTTTAAATCCGAGCACATTTGTGTCCTGAAAAGAAAGGAGCTTCATAAAAGGCTACGGTCTATAAACCTTGACGTACATATATGACAGCGGCAAGTTCCTGTCGAACGTCAGACGTGATTGTCGATTTCTTTGGATTCGCACCACAGTCGTACAGTGTGAACATTGTTCCAATGGCGTTAGACCTAAACGGAGACTGTAGCGTCATTACTATCCCTTTTGATTAATTTCGCGATCAAAGGTAAAAAAATAGTCCGAAATTCTTACTACACCTCATATTTTTCCAAATTAGGAAAAAGGAGGAAGGAGAAGGTCGTGATGCCTGATCTGTCAATCTAGGAAATGGAAGCAGGAAGAGGGGGGGAGGGGGGAGGGAGTAGGACTGATTCTTAATGGGGATTTACTGTATAACAAATTCATAGGACATTAAGAACTTACTTCTGGTTTCTGATGGGTTATATGTACGGGGAAAGCCTCACCCTAACACTTCCAACTGGTAAAGTTTTCCATGATCATAAACTATCAACTATGTACTTTCAGTTAACCCCGACCACTTGCATGGCAGTTTCTTGGAAGTAAAAGAAGCAGGAGAAAAGGGAAGGAAGTAAGGCAGTGGTGTCTGGGAATCTGGGAATCTGAGAGCCTGGAATTCCTATGTAAGGACCGCAATATACCGGGCTTTCATGAAATTGCGAATACTTTTTCGGGTGAAAAATTTTCCCTCAAGAGTCTTTCTCAACTATGTGACTTACCTTACTTTACCGACAAATGCTGTGCCCTCCCTTTTCAAATCTGTCGCATCGGTTGATATGAGATAGTTTGCAGTAGTGCTTTTCTTTCGACGTCGTGCTGCCAAGAGGAAAATCTAAAATTCGAAGTTCTGGTAGTCTTCTTCAACTTTTCGGATTTATTGCGAATGGTAGAAACAATATTCTGGCGACAGGCAAGTGGGCGGAGAGTAAAAGAAATATGGTTGACAGTTGTCTTAGCCGTACTAGAAGATCTCATTCCTAGTGAGGAGAAAGTTCGCTAAAAATAAGGATCCACCAATGGGCAACGCATTGGGGTTCATTCTCCGCCCATATGTTTGACCAGAACTGTTCATACAAAGTTTAAGTGAGAGACAGGTAAATGAAATAGCAAGCAAGTAAACACGTAAACAAGTGAACCAGCCAACCATTACCTTCTTTTTATCTTCCCTTTCAAGATGTAGATAGTACGTTGGATAAATGCCTTTGTCGACTCCTCGTTTATCCCTGGTTATGGAACATTTGTAGACCACATTCCGTTTCCCAGGTGCTTGAACAAATCTGAATGATTGCTTCACAATCAATGAGTAGGTATTAAATCAGTACTTAGATTTTGTAATACTGTTTACAAATTGAAAATAGTAATGGTTTGAGACCATTAGGTATGTAACAATATCTGGGTGAAGGCATATTACCTCATACCTTCCTACCTTCCTCCTGTGCCTCTCAATTAAAGTAAGTTCAATCCCAAAAGGAGGTTCTGGTGGAATTCCAAATGGAAGACCTTACTCAGGAAAGACTTGAATCCTATAGGCTTTGATTGTTCAATGGGGAACATCTGTGAGATCTCCTACACCTTCGGGAGTGGCAGGAAAGTCTGCTTGTATGAAAATATAATGATTCGGAAATTCCAATTGATAATACTTACTTTTCAATATTTGCAGCGATTTC